CCTTATGCAGTACTCCGAAATGCTCTATTAAGACGAGAGCTGTTGGATGTAGAGTTTTTCCTTCGTTTACTGTATGCATGGATTGCACCTGTGGACTGTATGTATTGGCGGGTGACTGAGAATTGTCAGTCGCGTTTGTGGGTGTTTGTGATGTGTTATAGTTTCCTTGAGCTGTCTGATTTCGTGTTTCCTTCGGGTTTTGAGGTTTCCTGGATCGCCTTAGTGTTTGGCGGTTGGATGCCTGCGATACGTTTTTTCTCCTGTTGGCTTTGATCATTGTGAGTGGTCACATGGAGTAACGAATGATGGTTTCTATGGCAAACTGCGCACGTATTTTGACTTGAGCAGTCACTTCTTAAGTGGGAGAATGAGAAGCAGTTTTCGCACAGCTGATATTCTCGGACCACCTTATATTTATCACGCACAGGCAACTTCTTGAATTCGAAGCAAAATCTAAGGGGATGATTTCCATCGCACATAGGACAAGGGTTCGTCGTGTTGCTTTCAACATAGAAGTTTTGAGTTCTGTTATGACTTCGATTCTGAAGAAACCCGGGCTTGATATGTTTCATGCCGTGAAGCCGCTCTACTACCTCATATCGTTTTGTAAGAAATTCGTTCATTTGCTCCCAGGTTGGGAGGTCTTTGCGAGAACTTAGGGACTGTTCCCACAAAGATAACGTTTCTTGGGGTAGCTTCGACGAGCATATGTATACCAGGATTGGGACCCAATTCTCTGTCGGGACGCCTTGAGAATTTAAGACAGACAGAGAATTGTTAATGGAATTTTGAAGTGTCTGTAATGCTTCGCTGTTTTCAAAATGTACTTGGGATAGAGTAAGAAGAGTTTTAATCTGCTTGTCGACCAGGATTCTTTTGTTTTCATATCGGGAATTGAGAGCATTCCATGCAAGCGTAAAGTTTTCACCGCAAAGACCGTATTGTTTAACCAGGGCTGCGGCTTTTCCGGTTGTTTTGTATCGGAGATGATACAATTTTTGGGCAGGGGTAAGTGTGGGGTGATTAATATAAACTGCCGTGAACAAGTCACGGAAGGATGGCCACTCTTCGTAACCTCCGGAGAAAGTTTCGGTGTCACAGGGTGGGAAATTCAGGCACATAAGACGAGACGTTTCGCACATTTGGGCCATCTGCACGTCCATAAGATC